TTTCGAGGGGGCATTCAAGGGGGGTCTCAAGGGGGGGTTCGAGGGGCTCCCGCAGCGCTGGGGGCGGGTCCGAGCCCCCCCCAGGGCCCGGGGCTGTGCGGGGGGGTGCCGGGGGTGGCGGGGGGGGTGTCGCTGTCGCCGCTGTCGCCACTGTCGCCGCTGTCGCCGCTGTCGCCCCCCCGCAGCATCCGCCGCACCGTGCGGGACACGGTCAGGGGGTCGCACCTGGGAGGAGGGGGGAGTGACACCCCCCCGTCATGGAGACCCCCCCGACATCCCAGAACATCCCCCCCGGACCGCCCCAATATCCCATAACCCCCATAGAGCCCCCATAACCCCCTATGAGCACCCCAACACCCCATAGCCCCCGAGACCCCCCGTAACCCCATAGACCCCTCCCACCATCCCATAACCCCCGATAGACCCCCCCATAATCCCATAGACCCCCAAGGTGTCCATAGGGTCTGTAAGCCCCCCCCCGGTGCCCATGGGTGTGTATAGGTGTCTATAGGTGCCCACGGGTGTCTATGGGGGTCCGTAGGGGTCTCTGGGTGTCCGGAGGTGTCCCCACCTGAGCCGGGCCCTGAGCACGGCCACGCTCCGCGCCGTGGCCGCGGTGCCATCGCCGACGTGGTCGAGCTGCCGGCGCAGGACGTGGCCCTGGGCCAGCGCCCGCGCCGTGCCCGCCGCCACCGCCGCCACCTGCGCCGCCACCAGCCCTGCGGCCACCTCGCTGGCACGGGCCTGGGGACACGGGGACACCGCTGGGGACATTGGGGACGCTGGGGACATCGGGGACATTGGGGCATTGGGGACACTGGGAAGAGTGGGTCATGGGGATAGTGGGGACATTGGGGCCATTGGGGCATTGGGGACATTGGGAAGAGTGGGGTCATGGGGATAGTGGGGACATTGGGGCATTGGGGACATTGGGAAGAGTGGGGTCATGGGGATAGTGGGGACATTGGGGCATTGGGGACATTGGGAAGAGTGGGGTCATGGGGATAGTGGGGACATTGGGGACATTGGGGCATTGGGGACATTGGGATACGGGGACACGGAGTCTGGGGACATGGGGACGTGGGGTGTGGGGACAAGGGGATGTGGTGGCATTTGGCATTGGGACATGGGGACACGGTGACACAGGACCTGGGGGCACGGGGGGACAGGACACAGGGACACTGGGGACACAGGGACAGTTGGGGACACTCGGGAACAGGGAGGACGTGGGCGGGCACAGAGGCTGTGGGGTCACAGGGTGACAGGGGTGACACGGGTGACACAGGTGACACGGGTGACAGGTGCCCCCCACCTGCAGCCGGTATCTCTCCCCCCGCAGCCGCTGCTCCTCCACCTCGGCCACCAGAGCCCGCAGGCGCCGGCCGGTGACACGTGCGGCCCGCGACAGGGACAGCCGGGTCCTGGGGGGACACAGGGACACCAAATGTCACCCAGTGGCACCCCATGGCACCCAGGACGGGGCCACCCACACCCCGGGGGCCACTGGGACACCCAGTGTCACCCCATGTCACCTCCAGAGTGACCCACAGCCAGTGACACTCACCCTGAGACCATCTGGGGACCCCCCTGGGACCGTCTGGGGACCACCTTGGGCCACCCTGGGGCCACCCAAACCCACTTCGGGGTCACCTCAAGCCACACTGGGACCCACCTGAGCCCCCTTGGGACCACCCAGGACCACCCAAACCCACTTTGGGGTCACCCTGGACCACCCGGGGCCACCCAAGACCGCCTTGGACCTCTCTGGGTGTCCCCCCAGACCACCCTGGAGTCACCCAAGACCATTCTGGGGCTGCCCAAACCCACTTTGGGGGCATCCTGAGGCCATGTGGGCACCACCCAATCCCCCCCAGTCCCCCCTCACCCTTCCTCCCTGCGCAGCAGCTCCTGCAGGTGGAGGCAGCGGCTCCTCAGGGTGCTCTCGGGGGGCGTGGGGGGCACCGGGGGGCGCAGGAGCCGCTCCTGCAGCTCCCGCTGCTCCCGCGCCAGCCGGGCCTGGGCACCCTGGGCCTCCCGCGCCCGCTGCCCCGCGAGGGACAGCGCCTCACGCAGCTCCTGCACCTGGGCAGGGGAGACAACACCCACGGGTGAGACCACAGCACCCTCAGGTGAGCTCAGCACCCACATATCCCATTTCCCACATCCCCATATCCCATTTCCCACATCCCCATATCCCCTCATATCCCTCCCAAGTCCCCACAGGTGCCCACAGGTGCCCCGCAGGTGCCCCACAGGTGCCCACCTGTCCCAGCCGCTGTCCCAGGTGGTCCCGCAGCCCCCGGTTGTGCTCCCGCAGCTCCTCCAGCGCCGCCTGCAGCCCCTCGGGGTCAGCGGGGGGGGGACTATGGGGGGGACATATGGGGGTGCGTGGGAGGGTATAGGGGATGGATGGGGGATAAGGGGGAATACGGGATAAGGGACACCTGGGACTACAGGGGACACGTGGAGGGGCTGTAGGGGACACACAGTGGGCGAGTCCAGGAAGGGGCGTGTCCGGGGAGGGGCGTGTCCTCACTCACCTGTGTCGGGGGCCGTGTCCCACCTGAGCGGCCGCTCGGTCCCGCTCCTGCTCCGCCTGGCGCCGGCACTGCCGAGCCTCCTCCACGGCCTGGGGGCGGGGCTGGCATGGACACGCCCACCGGGGACACGCCCACCAGCCCAGCACCACCCATAGTCTGATATAGCCCCGCCCATTGTTCGTCAGCCCTGCCCACTGATCCTTAGCCCCACCCATCAGTCCTTAACCCCACCCATTGGGCCTTAGCCACACCTCCCTGCCCTTTAGCCTGGCCCCTTAGTCCTTTAGCCCTGCCCATTTATCATTAGCCCCACCCTTTCCCTTGGCCCCGCCCACCTCTCGCAGCCGCTGAAGCTCCTCCCCCCGTTCCCGGCACTGCGACTCCGCCTCCTGCGCCCGAAGCTCCGCCCCTGCACGGGCAGCACGGGCAGCCTGGAGCTCCGCCCACAGCAGCTGCCCCGCCTCCTGCAAACGGGGCCGGGTCAGGGACAGGCCACACCCCTCGACCACGCCCCCTTTAACCCCACCTCAGCCAGGCCCCCACCCTCTCAGAGGCTCCTCCCCCTCCCAGGCCACGCCCCCTCAGACCACACCAATTTAGCCCAAATTCAGCCACACCCCCACCAGAGGCTCCACCCCCTTAGGACCCTCCCCCTGACCACACCCACATCCCATAAAGCACCACCTACCTTTCTAAGTCCCACCCCATTTCACCAGCCACCCCTCAGACCACGCCTCTTTAGCCCCACCCACAGCCACACCTGTCATAGGCCCCGCCCCATCCAACCCCACCCCCTCCCTGGCCTCGCCCACCTGCTGCAGCCGCAGTCTCTCATTGGCCCGGTCCCTGGCCCTGCAGGCCCCGCCCATCCGGGCCTGGGCCCCACCCACAGCGATCTCCAGTGCACGCAGGGCCCCGCCCTCCACCAGGCCACGCCCTCTCTCTGCTGCCAGGCTCCGCCCCAGCGCCGCCACCTGATTGGGGAAGACCATGATTGACAGCTCACATGGGACAGGCCACGCCCCCGTCTGGGTGATGGGCAGCCCCTTGTCCCGCCCCCAGGGTGATTGACAGATTATTGCTCCACCCACCAGGGTGATGGACAGTCCTAAGCCCCTCCCACCAATGTGATTGACAGCCCCAAGCCCCACCCACCTGGTTGCTGAGGTCCCGCAGCTCCTCCTCCAGGTCCCGCCGGTGCTGGGAGGGGGGGGGACATTTGGGGGGCAGGAACCAAAATCTGGGGGGTCCCAAAGTCCAGGAGGGGTCCCAGGGTTTTGGGGAGTCCCAGGAATCCAGGAACTCCCAGAGTCCAGGCAGTCCCAAAATCTGGGGGGTCCTCGAGTCGCGGGGTCCCGGGGATTTGGGGGTCCCAGGAATCCAGGGGGTCCCAGGTGTGGGAGGGTCCCAGGGTTTTGGGGGTCCCAGGAATCCAGGGGGGCCCAGGTGTTGGAGGGTCCCAGGGATTTTGGGGGTCCCAGGAATCCAGGGGGTCCCAGGTGTGGGAGGGTCCCAGGGTTTTGGGGGTCCCAGGGATCTGGGGGGTCCCAGAGGTCCGGGGTGAGGGGGGATCCCAGGACCCCCGGGGGTCCCTCCCAGGGTGGGCAGGACCCCAAACCTTGCAGGGGGTGGGGGCGGGGGGTCACTTCCTGGGAGGTCCCAGGGGGGTCCAGGGGGGTTCGGGGGGGATGGACCAGTTCCCACGGGGTGGGGGAGGGGCGCCGAGGGCCCCGTGTCGCTGTCCCCGCCCCATGTCCCAATTCCAGCCCGGGGCTGGCGGGGGGCCAGGGGGGCCCCGAGGGGGGCGGGGGGGCTCCGGCCAAGGGGGGAGACGGGGCGGGGAGACCCCAATGCCCGCAATCCCCCCCTCCTCCACCCCCTGGGACCCCCAAATTGGGGTCGGGGCTCCCCTGGGTACCGAGGGGTCCCCCATCACCGCGGGGTCCCCCCTCCCATCCCTGTATCCCCCCAGCTGGGGGTCCCACCCCGTACCCTGAGGGTCCCCCATCCCTGTGTCCCCCCCATCAACCGGGGGGGTCCTCACAGCCCATCCCTGTGTTCCCCCCATCCCTGTGTCCCCCCCTCATTAACTGGGGGTCATCCCCCCATCCCCTGGGAGTCCCCCCCTTTCCCCGTCCCCCCCACACCCCTCAGGAGTCCCCCCCACTCACCTGTACCAGCCTGGGGGGGCTGCGCCGCCCCCTGTCCCCCGTGTCCACCATGGGGGGGAGGCTCTGGAACAACAGAGACCCCGGGGAGACCCTACAATAACACCACAGCCCCCCCAAAGCAGCCGCAGCCCCGGGCGGGGACCCCCCGACAGCTTTGGGAGGGGCAGGTGGGGAAGGTCCGGCCTCCGGGGACCCCCTGCCCACCCTGGGGGTTCCCAGTCGCCAGTTTTTGGGGTCCCCTGCCCACCCGGGGGGGTCCCTGCCTCCCTGTCCCCCCTCACCTGTCCCGGTCCGGGCTCTGCCGGTGCCGCCCCCGCCGCAGGCACGGGACGGACCCGCGAGTGGCACCTCCGCGCTCCCCCGGGCCGGTCCCACGGGGGGGACACGGGGACACAGAGCCCGCCCTCCCCCTCCCCAACCCCCGCCCGCTCCCCCGGGCATCGCCCGGGCGGGGCCCTTCGGCTCCAGCGGCTCCCGGGCCACCCCCGCCCTGCCCGGGGGGCACCGGGGCCTCGGGGCACCCCAGGGTGTCACCTCTGCCCTCACCCGGGGGACACGGGGGGCTCGGGGCCCCCCGGATTTGGGTGGCACCTCAGGGTGTCACCTCTTTGTCTGCGGGACTCAGGTGTCCCAGGACACCCCAGAATTCGGGTGTCACCCCCAGTGTCTCCTCCTGTCTTCACCCGGGGGACTCAGGTGTCTCAGGGCACCCTGGAATTCGGGTGCCACCCCTGGGTGTCACCCCCGCCCGAGGGGACACAGGTTTCAGGGCACCCCGGAATTTGGGTGTCACCTCCTGCCCTTGCCCAGGGGTGGGAGAAGCGGTGATGTCACGGTGTGGGGGTGACGTCACAGGGAGGGGAGGGGACGGTGACACCACGTGAGTGACACAGGGGAGGGGCCAGGGGGGACAAGGGGGTCGGGGGGGGTCACACAGCGGGTGTCCCCGGTGGGAACAACACGAGGGACATCAGTGACATGGGATGACACGGGGTGACACAAATGGACTCAGGTTGGCCTACACGGGTCAACAGGGAGCAGAGCAGAGTCACGGGGGCCAACGTGGGTCAACACGGAACAGCACGGATTGACACGGGCCAACATGGGCCAATATGGATTGACACGGGCCAACATGGGCCAATATGGATTGACATGGGCCAACATGGGCCAATATGGATTGACATGGGCCAACATGGGTCAATATGGATTGACACGGGCCAACATGGGTCACTATGGATTGACATGGGCCAACATGGGCCAATATGGATTGACACGGGCCAACATGGGCCAATATGGATTGACATGGGCCAACATGGGTCACTAGGGACTGACACGGGCCAACATGTGGATGCCGCGGAATTCTCCGGCCCGCCAGGGGGCGCCGCTCCCGCCCCGCGGCCGCTCCCGCCCCTCTCTGTGATCCGCATTCATTTCCGGTCTGGTCAGGCAGAAGTGACGTCAGAGAGCGGCGGCGGCGGGAGTGCGGTGAGCGGGGGAGGAGCCGGTTTGAGGGGTTCTGAGGAGCTTCTGGGGGGTCCTGGAGGGTTCTGGAAGGTTTTCGTGTCGCGACAGGTCGGTGACATCGCGCGCGGTGCTCCCGGCCGCCCCGTGACGTCATCGGCGCTGTCCGCGGCACCCGGTGACGTCACACGGGGTGTCCCCAGCCCTCGGTGACCCCCTGGAAAATGTCCCAAACCCCTGTGTCTCCTTCCCCAGGTACCGCCGGCCTCGTCACTGTCACCGTGTCCCCACTGTCCCTGTGTCCCCACTGTCCCCTCCATCCCCGTGTCTCTGACATCCTCTCCATTCCTCCATCCCTGTGTCCCCTCCATCCCTCCACCCCGGTGTCCCCGGTGTCCCCCTTTGCCCCCAGTGTCCCCCTGTCCCCGCTGTTCCCCTGTGCCCCCAGTGTCCCCCGGCGTGCCCGCGGCGATGCCGGAGGCCGTTCACTACATCCACCTGCAGAACTTCAGCCGCTCGCTGCTGGAGACGCTCAACGGGCAGCGGGTGGCGGGGCAGTTCTGCGACGTCACCGTGCGCATCCGCGAGGCCTCGCTGCGCGCCCACCGCTGCGTGCTGGCCGCGGGCAGCCCCTTCTTCCATGACAAGCTGCTGCTGGGCCACTCGGCCATCGAGGTGCCGCCCGTGGTGCCCTCGGCGGCCGTGCGGCAGCTGGTGGAGTTCCTGTACAGCGGCAGCCTCGTGGTGGCACAGTCGGAGGCGCTGCACATCCTCACCGCGGCCTCGGTGCTGCAGATCAAGACGGTCATCGACGAGTGCACCCAGATCATCTCGCAGAGCCGCGGCCCCGCCGTGATGCCCCCGGCCCAGAAACTGCCGCCGGGGCCGCCGGCGGAGCTGGAGAACTTCTCGGAGCCGTTGCCGAGCGGCCACAGCCGGAAGCAGCGGCAGCCGCTGCGCCTCGCGCCGACGCTCAAGGAGGAGGAGGAGGCGGCGGAGGAGGAAGAGGAAGATGAGGACGGCGGTGCCCAGGAGGGCGTTGTCCCGCCCGGCACGGCCCTCCCTGCTTTCCCGGCTCCAGACCCACCGTTTTTCGGTGCCCCCGAGGCATTCCCGGACACGTTCCTGGCGCCCTGGGCCGGCGATGACAGCGGCGCCGCGTTCGGGGCCGAGCGCGGGCGAGAGGCACCGTGTGGGGATGGGTTTGGGTTCGGGGCGCCCCCGGCATTGCCACCACCCTACGAGGGTGGGACAGAGGCGGGGGGAGCCCCCCCGGTGCCCACGATGCCCCCAGTGGGGCCCCTGCGTGGCCCCCAGCCCCCCTACCAGTGCGGGCACTGCCAGAAGAGCTTCAGCTCCCGCAAGAACTACACCAAGCACATGTTCATCCACTCGGGTGAGCGCGGGGGGAACACGGGGACGTGGGGGGGACACAGCGGGGGCAGGGAGGGCAGGGTGTGGGGTGTGTGCCCTGGGAGGATCCGCGTTGACTCACGGTGATCTGAGGTTGACTTGTGGACGTGCATTGCTCTTGACCCACGTTGGCCTGTGCTGCCCCACGTTGGCCTGTGCTGACCCCTGTTGACTCATGCTGACCCACGCTAAGCCATGCTGACCCACGCTAAGCCATGCTGACCCACGCTAGGCCATGCTGACCCACGCTAAGCCATGCTGACCCACGCTAGGCCATGCTGACCCGTGCTGGTTCGTTGACCCGTGTTCACTCGTGCAGACCTGCCCCGTATTGACCCGTGTTGCCCCACATTTGTCTCTCCGCAGGTGAGAAGCCCCACCAGTGCTCCATCTGCTGGCGCTCCTTCTCCCTCCGGGACTACCTGCTGAAGCACATGGTGACCCACACGGGCGTCCGCGCCTTCCAGTGCGGCGTCTGCTGCAAACGCTTCACCCAGAAGAGCTCCCTCAACGTCCACATGCGAACCCACCGCCCCGAGCGCTTCCAGTGCCGCCTCTGCACCAAGGGCTTCTCCCACCGCACCCTCCTGGAGCGCCACGCCGCCGCCTCTCACCCCGGGCCCCCGCCGGGGCCCCCGCCGGGGCCGCCGCCGCTGCCGCCGGAAGCCGGAATGGCCGCGTGGCCGGGGACTGACGCCGCGGGCGCCGGCCCCGCTCACACGGCGTGAGGGGGCACCGGGGGGGTCTCTGCCCCCCGAATTCCTCGAAGGTGGATTTTGGGGCTCCAGGCCTGTTTGAGGGGAAACCTGGAGGAAGCTGAGCCACGGGGATGTTCCCAGGGACAGGAGAAGGGGAACAGAACAGGGGAGTCGGGAACACCCGGCAGGAGCACGGAGCAAATCCTCCTGGAAGCTGGGCAGGTGGGACACCAGGAGGTGGTTGGTGATGGCCTCGGTGGAGCTCAGGGGCTCTTCGGGTGGTGATGACATCATCAACCTGGATTTGTGCAAAGCACCTGAGGTGGATCCCAAGGAAATCCTGGAACTGAGCTGGAGAGACAGGGATTGGACAGATGGACCGTGCCCTGAGGCCAGAGGAGATGCTCCAGGGGCTGGAGAGAGTTGGGGTGTCCCACTTGGAGAAGGGAAGGATCTGGGGACACCCTTCCATGGCCTGAATAGGCTCCAAGAGCTGGAGAAGGACTTTGGACAAGGCGTGGAGTGCCAGGACACAGGGAATGGCTTCCAGCTGGAAAAGGAGACACTTGGGTGGGATTCTGGGGAGAAATCCCTCCCTGTGAGGGCAGGGAGGGGCTGGCATGGAATTCCCAGAAAAGCTGTGGCTGCTCCATCCTGGAAGTGTCTATGGAATGTCCTTTCCCCCACCAAACCATTCCCTGGTTCTGTCACTGTGACCCCACCCCAGCCTTGGATGGACACAGGGATGGACACACGGACGGACATGGGGTCCGCCCCTTGTCCCCTCCCCCCAGGTGGCTCCTGCTCCCCCAAACAGTGGCCAGTGGGGGGTGGCTCAAATGGTCTTGGTGGCCTCTGGGGGTGACAATGAACACGGGAGGACACTGGGGAGAGAGGGGGGATTCTGGGGATGGGGGGGGGGCGTAGGGGGGACACTGGGGACACGTGGGAGGACCTGGGGAAATGGGAGGGGACTTGGGAGAATGGGGGGGACACTGGGGGACACCAGAGGGGACATGGGGGAGGACAGGAGGGGACTCGGAGGGACACTGGGGGATACTGGAGTCACTGGGGGGACATAACAGGGGACACTGGGACACAAAGAGGGGACACTGTCCCAGGGCCACCAGTGCTCAGGGCCCCTCAGCCTCTGGTCCCAGTGTCATGCGGGGCCCTCCCAGTAACACCCCCGGTACCCCCGGCAGTCCCAGTAATCTCAGTGCTCCCAGTACCGTCCAGTGCTCCCAGTATTCCCAGTCCTTCCCCAGCCCTGCAGCGCATTGGTTTCCCGACCTGTCAATCATCGACTCCGCCCCTCCCCGCCGAGCCCGGAAGCCGATTGGCCAAGCGTCACGTCTCTACAATCCCCGCCCTCCCCGTGGAGCTTCCACCGCTGATTTGCGCGTTCTCCTTCCCGCCCTTTCTCTCCCGCATGCTCCTCTCCTATTGGTCCCTTACCCCGTCAATTACTCGTCCCTCTCCCCCTTTCATTGGACCCTTTTCTGTCCATCAGGCTCAGCGGGCGGTGATTGGCCGGGCGGGGGGGCGGGAGCGGAAGCCGTGAGGGGGCTGAGGGGAGACCGGGCCACCATGTCGGGCCCTGAGGCGGCGGCGGCCAGGACGGGCCTGGAAGGGGCCGGGAAGGGCCCGAGAGCGGAGCCCTTGGGGCACCTGGAGCTGCTGGAGCACTGCGGGCGCTGCCGGGAGCGCCTGAGCCCTCAGCGGGACCCGCGGCTCCTGCCCTGCTTGCACTCGGTGTGCGGGACCTGCCTCGGCGGAGATGGAGCGGGTGAGGGGGGACTGGGGGAGCTGGGAGGCACTGGGAGCACTGGGGGGTCACTGGGAGCACTGGGGGACACTGGGAGCAATGGGGGACCCTGCCCCACTAACGAGCCGGCACAGAGGGGTGTGTGGAGTGACCCTGGTACCCCCTCTGCCCCCCCGTCCCCCCTGACCTCGTGTCCCCGCTGTCCCCGCAGTGTTCGAGTGCCCCGTGTGCCGCTACCAGTGTCCCCTGGGGGACATCCTGGACAACTTCTTCCTGCAGGACAGTGGGGCTGGAGCCACCGCAGGGCCTGAGCCCCGCCAGGTAGAGCCTCGTTAGCGTTAATTAGCGCTAATTACCGGGGGAGAGGTGGCCCAGCCTGTCCCTTGTCCTCAGAGCTGCAGCAGCTGCGAGGACAACGCGGCGGCCACGAGGTTCTGCGATGACTGCGCCGAGCCCCTGTGTGACACCTGCGTGCAGGCCCATCTCAGGGTCAGGTACACCCGGGGCCACTCCGTCCGGGACATCGGTGAGTCACTGTCCCCTCAGTGTCACTGTCACACCCCCTGCCACCCCCTGTCCCTGTGTGACACCTGCGGGCAGGCCCATCTCAGGGTCAGCTACACCCGGGGCCACTCTGTCCGGGACATCGGTGAGTCACTGTCCCCTCAGTGTCACACCCCCTGTCACCCCCTGTCCCTGTGTGACACCTGCGGGCAGGCCCATCTCAGGGGCCCGCTCCCAGTCCCAGTGCTATCCTGGTGCCATTCCCATTCCCAGTGCTGTTCCCAGTCCATTCCCAGTCCCCTTCCTGTGTCATTTGTGCAGGCGGAGCTGCTTTCCAGAACATTCCCATCCCAGTCCGTTCCCACAGGCTTAGTCCCATCCCAGTCCATTCCCACAGGCTCAGTCCCATCCCAGTCCATTCCCACAGGCTCTGTCCCATCCCAGTCCATCCCAGTCCATTTCCACAGGCTCAGTCCCATCCCAGTCCATCCCAGTCCATTCCCACAGACTCTGTCCCATCCCAGTCCATCCCAGTCCATTCCCACAGGCTCAGTCCCATCCCAGTCCATCCCAGTCCATTCCCACAGACTCTGTCCCATCCCAGTCCATTCCCACAGGCCCAGTCCCATCCCAGTCCATCCCAGTCCATCCCCACAGGCTCTGTCCCATCCCAGTCCATCCCCACAGGCTCTGTCCCATCCCAGTCCATCCCAGTTCATCCCCACAGGCTCTGCCCCATCCCAGTCCATCCCAGTCCATCCCCACAGGCTCAGCCCCGCCCCGTTCCGGTGCCGATCCCGCTCTGGGGCCGTGCCCAGAGCACCCGGAGGAGCCCCGGGATCGGTTCTGTTCCACCTGTTCCACCCTCATGTGCCACCTGTGCCAGCTCAGCACCCACCAGGGCCACCGGTGAGTTCGTTAGCGCTCATTTGCATATTAATCAAGCATGTTAATTAGCACGGGAAAAACAGGGATTTGGGGCAAAGAGGGAATGGAAATGGGAGTTATGGACTGAAAGGGCAGCTGCTCAGGCCCCTGGAAAGGGGATTAGTTAATTAATTATGTTAATTAGTTGCTGAAGAAGAGGTGGAGATGGACTGCAGTGAATTATTAATTATTAATTAGAGATTTTCTAATAGATTTTAGGATGTTTTCGTAATGAATGATGGGGATTTTTACTGTGTTTTTCTCTGATTGTTTCAACTTCGTGGCTGCATTGATAATTAACCCAATTATTTACTTAAACAGGCAGCTAATTAGAGGATTGACTGAATAATTAACGATCCCAGCAGCATTTGGATGCAGAAAATTTAATTTAATTAAACAGGAAATAAAATGAACCTTTTTCACAAAGTGGAAACTCCTAATTAACTACAATGATTTAGTCAACTAGTTAATGATGCTTAGTGAGGGTTGGTTACCTTATTAATGGTTTTTGAGATAACGAGAAACTTAGGTTGGGTTTTTTTCTCTCTTTTTTTGCCTGCTTCCCGCCTTTTTTCCCTTTTTCCTTTTTCCCCTTTTTCCGTTTATCCCCTTTTTTCTCGTTTTCCCCTTTCTCCCTCTTCTCCCTGTTTTGTCCCCCCGTTTCCCTCCCGGTTCCCTTGTCCCTCCGCGCTCCGGGCGCGTTCCCAGTTCCCAGAGCGTCCCCGAGGCGGCCGGTGAGCAGCAGTCGCTGCTGCTGGACGTGTCCCGCTGCCTCAGCTCCAAACTGTCCTCGCTGCGGGACTGCCAGCGGCACCTGCGCGGCCTGTGCGTGGCACCCCCGTCCCGCCCGCGTCCCCCCGTGTCCCCCCCGTGTCCCCATTCCCGGCGTTCCCGTTGTTCCCAGGCAGCGCCAGGGCTCGGAGGCGCAGCAGCGGCTGCAGGTGGAGGTGAAAATGGCCATCCTGCAGGTCATGAGGGAGCTCAACAAGCGCGGCAAGGTCCTGCTCGGGGAGGCCCAGGTGAGGGTGGCACTGTCCCCCCCAGTCCCCTCCTGTCTCCTGGGCCTGGCACTGTCCCCTCACCGTCCCTTCCCTGTCCTTGCCTCCCCAGGGGAGGGTGGCACTGTCCCCTCCTGTCCCCTGAGGCCAGGACTGTCCCCTCCATGTCCCCTCCCTGTCCCTGCTGTCCCCCCGGGTCTCCTCAGTGTCCCCCAGAAGGTGACGGAGGCGTGGCAGGAGGAGCTGGAGCGGCGGCTCCGGGCGCTGTCCCTGCTGTCTCCTGGTGTCCCCTCAGTGTCCCCATGCCCTGTGTGACCCCGGTGTCCCCCCAGAAGGTGACGGAGGCGTGGCAGGAGGAGCTGGAGCGGCGGCTCCGGGCGCTGTCGGAGCTGCAGAAGCACCACGAGCTCGTCATGTGCTTCGTGTCCCGGGCCATGGGCACCTCCCGGGGCACTGCCCTGCTGCTCTCCCACAGACTGGTGAGGCTGAGCCCCCCCAGAGCCCCCCAGGGGCAGGGACCCCCACGGTGGCACCTGGGGACACTTGGGGACCATTGGGCGACCTGTTGGTGTGACAGAGGAGTGGGCAGTGACACCCCCACCGGGCTGTGCTGGGGAGGGGCCAAAGCCCCCCAACCCCACCCTCAGACCCCTCACGTGTCCCTGGGGTGTCCCTGCACTGTCCCACGAGTCCCCAGGGTGTCCCTGCCCTGTCACACGTGTCCCCGTGGTGCTGCCCCGTGTCCCCTCGGTGTCCCTGTGACCTGTGCCCTTCCCCTCCCCCTGTCCTTCCAGATCCATTCCCAGATCCAGCGGAGCCTCCGTGTCCCGGTGGAGCGTGAGGAGCCCCCGGGGGAGCTGAAATTCCAGTGGGATCTTCCCGCCTGGACCAAGAGCGCCGAGAACTTCGGTGACACCGGGGGGGACAGGAGGGACCAGGGGGGTGACAAGTGACAAGGGGGGTGTCAGGGGGGTCTATGATGTCCCCACCTCCCCTGACACCCCTCCCCTCCCCTCCAGGCACCATCATCTCGGAGTGGCCCCTGCCCCGCCCCGGGAGCCCCCCCCCTGCCATGAGGCCCCGAGATCCCCCCCCGCCCCCACAGGTACTTGGGGGGTCCGGGGGGTGTTTTGGGGACCCCCTTGCAGCCCCCCCCCAAAATAACCCCCTGCCCCCCCCAGGTGGTGAGCAATGGGCAGGTGACCCCTAGGCTGCTCTTTCAGCCCCCCCAGAACAGGGCTGGAGGGGGGGCACAGGAGGCCCCCTGGGGGTCCCCCCCAATTGGGCGGGAGGCTCTGGGCCCCCCCCTCCCACCTCAGTTTCCCTCTGGGATCGAGGGCTTGGAATGTCCTGACTTGTCCCCCCCACACCTGGAGCCGCCGCCGGAGACCCCCAAGCTGGGTGAGGATATGGGGGGGACGTGGAGGGCACAGGGGGAGGGAGGGAACAGGGGATGGGGGAACATGAGGGGGACAGGGGGAGGGGGGACATGGGCCGATATGGGGAGAGGGGAACATGGGGGACATGGGTTGGGGGGCACAGGTTGGGGGCACGGGGGTGACATGGCGGGGAGGGATATGGGGGGACACTGGGGGGGGAACACGGGACATGAGGGGGTGGGGACATGAGTGGAGTGACAGAGGTTGGGGACATGGGGGGTGACATGGAGGGGGCACAGGGGAAGGGGACACAGACTGGGGGGTCCAGGAATTCCCTGACGTGGGATTTCCCAGCAGCCGCCGGGCCCCCCGAAAACAGCGTCACAGGAGGGGACAGGTGAGGGGGGACACCCTGTCCTTTGTTACGTCCCCTGGGACGCCCCTGTCACTTGTCACCTCTGCCCAGTCCCTCCTGTCCATTGTCACCCCCCTGGTTTCTCCTGTCCCTTGTCACCTCCCCTGGGACCCTCCTGTCCATTGTCACCCCCTCCAGTCCCTCCTGTCTCTTGTCACCCCCTCCCTGGTGACATTTGGTGGCTTTGGGGGCTCCTGGAGCCCCCCTGACCCCCTCCCCCATTATCCAGGAGGAAACCTGGGAATTCCCCCCGGGAGGAGAAGTTCGTTAAGAAGCTGCTCATTAAACGGTAACTGGGGGGGGCGGGGACCTCCGGGACCCCCTTGTCACCTTTGTCCAGGGCCACCTGTCCCCCTTGTCCCATCCTTGTCACCCCCTTTGAGGGTCCCTGGCCCTTGGTCATAAGGGTCCCCCCATCTCGTCCCCTGGGCCAGGGGTTGGCGAGGACCCAGGACCCCCCTGGCCTTTGTCACCATGTCCCCAAAATCCCTCTGGAGTCCCCCTGTCCCCAGCTCTCCCAGACCTTGTTCCCCTCTCCCTGGGGTCCCCCCATCCCTTGTCCTCCTGTCCCCAGGGTGCCCCTTGTCCCCCCATGTCCCTTGTTCCCCCATCCCAAAAGCCCCAGATGCTTCCAGGATTTGTCCCCCGGGGGTGTTCCCCTGGTGCTGACCCCCCTCTCTCCCCCCAGGAGGCGTCCCCGAGGGTGCCAGGGCCCCCCCCCACGCCCCCTCAAGGTGCCACGGGTGTCCCTGGAGCGGCTGGAGCTGGGCCTGGCGCTGGACCCGGCCCTGCCCCTGCCCGCCTTCCGCGTCCTGCCGGGGCCCTCGGCCGGGCAGTTCAGCGTCATCGTCATCGAGCAGGGGGGGACAGCGCAGGGGACAGCCCAGGGGACAGCCCAGGGGACACCCCCAGGGACAGCCCAGGGGACAGCCCAGGGGACACCCCCAGGGACAGCCCAGGGGACAGCCCAGGGGACACCCCAGGGGACAGCCCAGGGGACAGCGCAGGGGACACCCCAGGGGACAGCGCAGGGCACGCGGCCACAGGGACACATCCCCATCAAGGTGAGTGTGCCCCGGACCCCCGCGGTCACCTGTGCCACTTCATTGTCACCTGTCCTTTTGCAGTGTCACCTGTGCCACCCCAGTGTCCCATGTCCCCCTCCAGTGTCCCCCTGCGTCCCCCTGCCCCCTCCTAATATCCTGTTCCTCCCTGTGTACCCTCCTTATGTCCCCCTGCCCCTCCCCATGTTCCCTCCCTGTGTCCCCATTGCTCTCCAGTGTCCACCTCCATGTCCCTGCATCCCCTACTCACGTCCCCTTGTCCCTCTTCCCTATGTTCCCTCCCCATGTCCCCTTCCCATGTCCCCCTTCTGTCCCCCCCACGTCCCCCCTCACCTTTTCCTTCCCATCCCCCAGGAGGAGCCTCAGGAATTGGCCATCGGGGACCCCGGGGACACCAAGCCCGTGGGGCTGCTGCCCCCTCCCGCCGTGGGGGGTGTCCCCGGGGGTGTCCCCACGGAGGGTGTCCCCACGGAGGGTGTCCCCACGGAGGGTGTCCCCGTGGGGTGGAGCTGCCGGGTGTGCGGCCGCGCGGGGGCCGTGGTGATGTGTGACCGGTGCCAGCGCTGCTTCCACCTGCACTGCCACCTGCCCGCCCTGCTCGACGTGCCCAGGTACGGGCCCAGGATCCCAGCGGCACCTCCCTGGGATCCACCGCCCCTCGGCACCTCCCTGATCCCTGTGGGAATCGTCCCACTGACTGCAAACCTTGTGGAATGTCCGTTCCCTGTCTGTGATCCCCCCAGGAATCCCTCTGACGACCCCAAAACTTGGGGGATCTCCTGCCCCTGATCCCTCTGGGAATCCCCCACCGAGCCCAAACATCATGGGGTCTTCTTTCTCTTTCCCTGATCCTCGTGGGAATCCTGTTGCTGGCCCCAAACCTCCTGGGATCTCCCATTCCCAATGGCTCCCGGTTCCACAGCTCCGACTGGACGTGTTCGCTGTGCCAGGAGCTCCCCCCGCCCTCCGAGGCCCCCTCGGGCCAGGGAACCCCCGCCCGGCTGAGCCCCCTGGACCAGCAGGTGAGTCCTGGGGGGGATTCGGGGGGATCCAAGGGATCCCGGGGGATCCAGGGCTGCCCTCTTTCTCCCCCCCAGAGGTGTGAGCTGGTGCTGCTGGAGCTGCTGTGCCACGAGCCCTGCAGGGCCCTGCAGCGCCCGCGCGGCCTCGCGGTGAGTGGGGGCTACCGGGGGGGCTGGGGGGCTACTGAGCCATGGGGACCACCGTGAACACTTCAGGGGCTACAGGGGGGGCTACTGAGCCATGGGGACCACCATGAACACCTCAGGGGCTACGGGGGGGCTACTGAGCCATGGGGACCACCATGAACACCTCAGGGGCCACGGGGGGGCTACTGAGCCATGGGGACCACCATGAACACCTCAGGGGCCACGGGGGGGCTACTGAGCCACGGAGACCACCATGAACACCTCAGGGGCTACGGGGGGGCTACTGAGCCATGGGGACCACCATGAACACCTCAGGGGCTCCTGGGGTTTGGTGACCCTTGTGGAGTTTGATGCTCACGGGAGGGGTTTGGTGGCCCAAGCAGTGGTTTGGTAGCCCCAGGGCACATTTGAAGGCCCAAGCAGGGATTTAGTGGCCCCAGTCATGGTTTGGTAGCCCCTGACACCGTTTGGTGGCCACAGGAGGGGGGTCCCGCCCTGGACCTGACCCTGATGAGGGCGAAGCTGCAGGAGAAGCTGAGCCCCCCCTACAGGACCCCCGAGGAGTTTGCCAGGGATGCCTGGAGGGTCCTGGGACAGCTCCAGGGGACCACCGAGGTCTGGGGGGTGTCTGGGGGGTCCGGGCAGTGTCTGGGGGTCCCTGAACGTCCCTGGGGGAGGTCTGGGGGTCCCTCTGGGCATCCCTGGGGAGGTCTGGGGTGGCTTGGTGGTTTCTCTGGGTGTCTGAGAGGGTCTGGGGGTGGTCTCTGGAGGGGTTTGGGGGTCCCTGGGGAGGTCTGAGGGTCCCTCTGGGGTATCTGAGGGTCCCTGTGGGGGTCAGGGGGTGTCTCTAGGGGTCTCACCCTCATGTCCCCCCAGGACAAGGCGGGGGTCTCTGAGGGGTCTGGGGTGCTCTGGGGGGTCCCTGGGGATCTGGGGGGGTCTCTGGGGCCTCAGAGGGGGTGTCCAGCCCCCCTGACCTCCTGTGTCCCCCCAGGACAAGGTGGGGCTGCAGTCCCTGCTGAGCGTCCAGAGGTTCCTTGAGACCCGCCTGAGCCGTGTCTTCGGGGACAGGAAATTCTGGGACCACCCAGGGACCTCTCTGCAGCCTGAGCCCCCTCCCCAGGGGGGCTGGGACCACCCGGGGTCACCCCTGGCATCCTGGGACCCCAATTCTGCTGCTCCAGGGTCCTGATCCCCCTCCCCGGGGTCCTGAAACCCTCCCTGGAACCCCAATCCCCCTCCCCGGGGTCGTGATCCCCCTCCCAAGGGTCCTCAAATTCCCCCTGGGACCCCAGTTTGTTCTCTCTGGGACCCCAATCCCCCCTCTCAGGACCCCAATCCTCCTCACCAGGGTCCTGGTCCCCCCTCCAGGACCCCAGTTCTGCTCCTTGGACCTATAAAACCGCTCCTGGTCCTTCTTCACTGTGGGTCAGGATTTGCCCGGCTGTGACCCGTGGGAGGCCCGGGATGGAGCGGGGTCCTGGCAGGGACCTGCAGGCCGTGGAGAGGGAAGCCCAGGCTGGAGCAGGTTTTTCCCGGGTAGGACTTGCGGCCCCTGTGGGGGACCCACGTGGGTACAGCTCATTCCTGAAGGACTGACCCCATGGAGGAGTGACCCACGGGACAGCAGGTTGGGAAGAGCTGCTGCCCGAGGGATGGACTGATGGCAGAGTCACGGTCCATCAAGGGGAAGGACTCCAACTCCTCTCCCTGAGCAGCAGCAGAAACAACAACGGACTGTAACCCCCATTCCCTGTGCCCCTGCACCGCTGGGGAGGAGCAGGGAGAACACGGAAGGAGGGGTGGGGGAAGGTGTTCTTAAGACTATTTGTCAGTCTTTGGTTCTTATGCTCTTAGTAATAAATTGAACTACCATCCCCACTTGGAGTCTGTTTTGCCCATCAAGGTGATCAGCCACTGACCTCTCCCAGCTCTTCTCTCGACTCATGCATTCTGAATTGCTTTTTTCTTCTGTCTTTGTCCAGTTACAGAGGGGAGAGTGAGAGAGCGGCTTTAGCGGGTACCTGGTATCTGGCCAGGGTCAACCCCCTACAGAGGGCAAACTGGTCCCAGTACAGCCCCCCCCGTAAAGATGGTGGCGCCCAGTAGAAGGAAGGGCCTCAAGCTCCGCCCCCGTGCGCGGGGATTGGTCGGTGGGGCCTGAAATTGCCGAAGTTTTCCGGAAAGAGCCGAAGGCACGAGCGGCGCCGCGCCCGGTTCGTCGCGGAGGGTCCGGTCCCGCCCCCTTTACCGGGAGGACCCGAGTTGTTCCGGAAAGAACCGAAGCGACCCCGGAACGGGCTGAGCTCCCCCCGAGCGGCTCCGGAAAGAGCCGAAGGGCCCCGGATCCCCTTCCACCCCCCTCGGGTCTGGAGACCCCCGAGGCGGCTCCTAAACTTGCCGAGCGGCTCCAGAGGGTCCCGAAGCGGTTCTGGAGGATCCCGAAGGGGCTTCGGAAAGTCACGAAGTGATTCGCGGTCGTTCCGGAACTTCCCGAACCGGTTCCGGAACTTTACGAAGCGGCTCAGGAGATCCCCGAACCCTTCCCGGACTTTCCCGAAGCGACTCCGGAAGTTGCCGAGCGTCTCCGGAAGTTGCCGAGCGGGGCGGCCCTCAGCGCTTGCCCCCGGCCCCGTCGGTCCCGGACCCCCCGAAACCCCCCGAAACCCCCCCCAAAAACCCCCAAAACCCCCCAGAAAGCCCCGAGCCGCCGCTCCCCCCGCGCCCCCCGGGGGGGCCGGCGCCGCCCCGGCCCGGGCCGGCAGGATGATCAAGCTGTTCTCGCTGAAGCAGCAGAAGAAGGAGGAGGAATCGGCCGGAGGCACCAAGAGCTCCAGCAAAAAGGCCTCGGCGGCGCAGCTGCGGATCCAGAAAGGTGCGACTGGGGCGGGCTGGGACGGACTGGGGCGGACTGGGACCAGTTACGATTCTGAGGGGGGTCAGCGACTGGGCCCAGCGGGGGTCAGAGATTGGGCCCAGTTAGGCCCTGGTAGGGGGAAGGGGCTGGACCCAGTAGAGGTCAGGTACTGGGCCCAGTAAGGGTCAGGGACTGGTCCCAGTTGTGGTCAGGTACTGGGCCCCGTAAGGGCCAGAGACAGCATTCAGTAGGGTTCCAGTTGGGGTCACGTACTGGTCCCAGTACGAGTCACATACTGGTCCCAGTAAGGCCCCACTTGGGGCAGGAACTGGTCCAAGTATAGTTCCACTGGGGGTCAGGTCCTGGTCCCAGTTGGGATCAGGTACTGTCCCAGTAAGGGTCGGGGACTGGTCCCAGTTGGGGTCACACACTGGTCCCACTGGGGACATGTCTGTGTCCCCTTTGTCCCTGTCCCCTGTGTGTCACCTGCGTCATGTCCCCGATGTCCCCTCAGTGTCCCTTTGTGTCCCCAATCCCCCCAATGTCCCCAATCGCCCCAACCCCCCCCGTGTCCCCCAGTGTCCCCCCAGTGTCCCCAGATGTCCCCAGTGTCCCCAGATGTCCCTGTTTGTCCCCAGACATCAACGAGCTGAACCTGCCCAAGACGTGTGAGATCGACTTCTCCGACCAGGACGACCTGCTGCACTTCCGGCTGCACATCTGCCCTGACGAGGTGGGACTGTCCCCAGATGTCACCTCCCCTGTCACCCGTGTCACCCCCCGTGTCACCCGTGTCACCTCCTGTCCCCCCCAGCTCCCTCCCTGATTGTCCCCCCCCTTCCCCTCGGGTCACTTTGGGGTCCCCACTGTCCCCATGTCCCCCCCTCTGACACCCCCAATTGTCCTCTCCCATCCCTGGGGGTCCCCCCAGTGTCCCCAGCCCCTCCAGATGTTCCCCAGATGTCCCCCCGGTGACATTTCTCTGTCCCTCAGGGTTTCTACAAGGGCGGCAAATTCGTCTTCAGCTTTAAGGTGAGTCCTGGGCCACCAAACCTGTCCCTGGGCCACCAAACCCCTCCTGGGCCACCAAATCCGTCCCTGGGCCACCCCTCTTGGGCCACCAGTGGCCTTGGAAGTGTGGGGGGACACCTGGTAGCCACCCCGCCCTGAGCAGTGGCCACCAAGCCCTGCTGGGGCTGCTGTGGGTCCAAGGGGGGCCCTGGGGGCTGGTGGCCACCAAGGTGGGCCTGGTGGCCACCAGCCAGTGACCGGTGGCCGTGTCCCCCCCCAGGTGGGCCAGGGGTACCCCCACGACCCCCCCAAGGTGAAGTGCGAGACGATGGTTTATCACCCCAACATCGACCTGGAGGGCAACGTGTGCCTCAACATCCTCAGGTGGGCTACCAACATCTAGGGGGGCTACCGACATCCAGGGGGGCTACTGACAGCCCCGAGGGGGCTACCAGCCCATGGAGGGGCTACTGACAGCCCTGGGGAGTTACCAACCCATGGAGGGGCTACCAAACACCTCCCGTGGGCTCCCCCCTGGAGGGGCCGTGGCCACCTGTTGGTGTCTGTGGTGGCCAGGCTGCCCCGGGTCTGAGTGTGTCGGTCTGTCCCCGTGTCCATGTGTCCCTGATGTGTCCGTGTGTCCCTGACGTGTCCCTAATGTGTCCCTGACGTGTCCGTGTGTCCCTGATGTGTCCATGTGTCCCTGATGTGTCCGTGTGTCCCTGACGTGTCCCTAATGTGTCCCTGACGTGTCTGTGTGTCCCTGATGTGTCCATGTGTCCCTGACCACGTCCACGTGTCCCTGACGTGTCCGTGTGTCCGTAGGGAGGACTGGAAGCCCGTCCTGACCATCAACTCCATCATCTACGGCCTCCAGTACCTGTTCCTGGTGAGGAACACGGGGACACACCTGGGGGGACAGCTGGGGACAGGGACATGGGGACACCTGGGGGGACACCTGGGGACACACCTGGGGACAGGGACATGGGGACACCTGGGGGGACACCTGGGGGGACACCTGAGGACAGGGACATGGGGACACCGGGGGGGGCACCAGGGGATTCAGGGAGGGCTGAGGGGCCCAGGGGGGCAGGGGCAGGTTTTGGGGTCCTTGGGGTTCTCTTAAAAGGTTTTGGGGTCCCTGGGGGGTGTTAATGGGGTTTGGGATCTGGGAAGAGTGTTTTGGGGTCTGAGGGGCTGTTAATGGAATTTGGGGTCTGGGGGGGAGTGCTTTGGATTCTGGGGGGCTGCTACTGGGGTTTTGGGGTCCGTTCGAGCATTTTGGGGTCTGGGTTCGGTGCTCACGGGGTCTGTGCCCCCCCAGGAGCCGAACCCCGAGGACCCCCTGAACAAGGAGGCGGCCGAGGTCCTGCAGAGCAACCGGCGCCTCTTCGAGCAGAACGTGCAGCGCTCGCTGCGGGGGGGCTACGTGGGGGCCACGTACTTCGAGCGCTGCCTCAAGTGACCCCCTGCCCCGAAATCCCCCCCAAAAACACCCCCGGGACCCCCCCCAAAAATCCCTGACCCCCCTGGACCCCACAGAGCCCCCCAAAACCCCGCTCGGGGGGGCTCTGTGGGGGCCACAGACATCAAGTGACCCCCCCCCCCTAAAAAAATTCCCCCAAAAAACACCCCCCGGGACTCCCCAAAACCCCAAACTCCTCCATACCCCCCCCCCCCAAAACACCCCCAGGACCCCCTAAATACCCCTTTTGGGGGGGGGAGGTGACGTGGGGGCACTGACATCGGGACTCCCCCAGGGACCCCACATATCCCCCCCAACACCCCCAGGACCCCCCAAATTCCCCCTGTGGACCCCCCAGGACCCCCAAAGTCCCCCTGGGGACCCTCTGGGACTCCCCAGGACCCCCCTGGGAACCCCCCAGGACCTCCTGGGACCCCCCAAAATCCCCCCCCTCAGAACCCCCCAAACCCCACGCGGTACCTCCGGGGACCCCCCCAAGACCCCCCCGGGGACCCCCAAAATCCCCCCCAGGACCCCCCAAGCCCCCCCAGGACCTCCTGGGGACCTCCCAGGACCCCCCCAGGACCCCCAAAATTCCCCCCCCTATTTATTCCCCCCGGGGGTGGGGGGGGACCCCCCGTCATGGCTCGAGCGGAGATTAAAGAGCGAAGGGAACGAAGGCACTGGTTATACTGGTTTTTGCTGGTTTATACTGGGGGGGCTGGTTATATTGGTTTATACTGGGGGGGGTGGTTATACTGGGTTGTACTGGTTATACTGGAGGTGCTGGTTTATACTGGGGATACTGGTTACACTGGTTTATACTGGGAGGGGCCCAGTGTGTTCCTGGTTATAGTGGGAGGAGCAGTGGGGGTGTTAGTGGTTGTACTGAGATGGGGGTGCCGAGTTACTGGTCTCATGGTTCCCAATCTGCCCAGTGGCACCAGTTCCCCGCTCCAGTATGGCCAGTTCCCAGTGCCGGTATCCCCGGTTCCCAGTGCCAGCACTCCCGTCCCCCCAGTTCCCAATCCCGACCCCCCCGAGCCGCCAGGGGTCGCTCCTGTCTCTGCCCCGGCCCGGAAGTGCCTCTCCGGCCCCTCCTCTGTGGCCTTCCCTCCGCCACGTGACCGGGCCACGGTGACGTCACTGTTTGCGGAAGTGCCGGTAAAAGGGGCCGGGGCGATTTGGGCGAATTTAGGGCGGTTTGGGGGCATTTGGGGATTTCAAGGGGCGCCGGGAGGGAATCTGGGGGAGTTCGAGGGGATTTCGGGGGGGTTTGGGGCGGCCGGGGGCGATTTAAAGAGCCGGGGGGTTGGCGTTTGGGGGTATTTCAGGGGCTTTTGAGAGGATTTGGGGGGATTTTAGGGAATTCGAGGGGACTTCCGGGAGCTTTGGGGACGGTTTCGGGGGGGTCCTGGGGGATTTCGAGGGGTCCCCGTGTCCCCCTCTCTGTCCCCATGTCCGTGTCCCCTCCCCTCCCCCTGTCCCGTTGATGTCCCCGCTGTCCCATCGATGTCCCCGCTGTCCCGTTGATGTCCCCCCCGGGTGCCCCAGGTGTCCCCGTGCCCATGGAGCTGCTGTTCGGGCGCCGGAAGACGCCGGAGGAGCTGCTGCGGCAGAACCAGCGGGCTCTGGGCAGGGCCGTGCGGGAGCTCGACCGCGAGCGGCAGAAACTCGAGGCGCAGGAGAAGAAAATCATCGTGGACATCAAGAAAATGGCCAAGCAGGGGCAGATGGTGAGACTGGGGACGGGGGGGACATTGGGGACATTGGGGACACGGGGGGCACACGTGGGGACATTGGGAGTGGTGCAGGGCCGGTGTGTGGTGGGAGGGAGAAGGTGGAGGGGACACGGGGGGGACCTGAGGGACATCCCAAGCCCTCAGCGTCCCTGATGTCCCTGGACGTCTCCCCAGTGTCCCCAGTGTCCCCTTGGCTGTCCCCCTGACGTCCCCCTGCTGTCCCCTGTGTCCCCAGGACGCCGTCAGGGTGATGGCCAAGGACCTGGTCCGGACCCGGCGCTACATCCGCAAGTTCATCACGATGAGGGCGAACGTCCAGGGCGTGTCCCTGAAGATCCAGACCCTCAAATCCAACAGCTCCATGGCCACGGCCATGCGCGGCGTCACCAAGGCCATGGCCACCATGAACAGACAGGTGGGGGCACACCTGGGCACACCTGGGGCCATCTGGGGTCACCAGTGGTCAGCAGTGGTCAGCCAGGGTCAGCCAGGGTCACCAAGGCCAGGCCACCACGGGCAGACAGGTGGGGACACCTGGGGGTCACCAAGGCCACCAGGGGTGTCCCCAAGGCCACCATGACCAGGCAGGTGGGTGACCCTGGGATGTCCCCCAGGGGTGTCCCCAAGGCCGTGGGCCGGTGTCACCCCCGGGGATGTGCCCCAGGCCGTTGTCCCCTGTGTGTCCCTGATGTCCCCAGTGTCACCCCCGTGTCCCCCCAGCTGAAGCTGCCCCAGATCCAGAAGATCATGCTGGAATTCGAGCGCCAGGCCGAGATCATGGACATGAAGGAGGAGCTGATGAACGACGCCATCGACGACGCCCTCGGGGACGAGGACGACGAGGAGGAGAGGTGGGGACACACCCAGGGGACACACCCAGGGGACACACCCAGGGGACAGGGAGGGGACACACCCAGGGGACAGGGAGGGGACACACCCAGGGGACAGGGAGGGGACAGGGAGGGGACACAGGCACATGGGGGGACAGGGGGACACGAGAATTTGGGGATATGGGGACAGGGGGACATGGTGACGGGGGGGGGGGATGTGGCATTTTGGGGACCCTCTGGGTAGGGCTGTTGGGGTCCCAGTGTCCCTCTGTCCCATTCCCAGTGTCCCTCTGTCCCATTCCCAGTGTCCCATTCCCAGTGTCCCTCTGTCCCACTCCCAGTGTCCCTCTGTCCCACTCCCAGTGTCCCTCTGTCCCACTCCCAGTGTCCCACTCCCAGTGTCCCACTCCCAGTGTCCCTCTGTCCCTCGCAGTGACGCCGTCGTGTCCCAGGTCCTGGATGAGCTGGGATTGAACCTCACGGATGAACTGGCCAGTGAGTGGGGGGGGATCTGGGGGGCACTGAAGGGGCCTGGGGGGAGTCTTGAGGGGATTTAGGGGCATTTAGGGGGTGTTTAGGGGGCCCGGGGGGTGTTTGGGGGAGGCTTGGGGGGGATTGTTTAAGGGACTGGGGGGATCTGGAGCCATTTGAGAGGCGTTTGGGGCCATTTTGGGGCTATTTTGGGGGTATTTGGGGCCACTTTGGGGGTATCTGGGGCCTTTTGGGAGCTATTTCCCCCCATTTTGGCTCATTCCGAGCGGGATTTCGGGGGTCCTGGGGGTGCCCCCGGTGCCCCCCTGACCCCCCTGTGTCCCCCCCCAGCTCTGCCCCCCCCGGGCGGGTCCCTGGCGGCGGGGGAGGGGCGGGGGGGTGCCGAGGCCGCGGCTGCTTTGGCCGACGCCGACGCCGACCTGGAGGAGAGACTGAAGAACCTGCGGCGGGACTGAGACCCCCCCGGACCCCCCCGGACCCCCCCGGGGGGCTGAGACCCCCCCCTGGGGCAGTCTGACCCCCTCGGGGGGGATTCACTCCCTTTTTTTGGGGCTTTTCTGGCATTTTTGGGGGTATTTTGGACCCTCCCCGGCGGTCTTGGACCCCCCCAAGGTGGCTCAGCCCCCCCCCAAGGGACCCCCGTGGGTGTTTGACCCCCCCCCCGCAGGGGGATTTGCCCCCTTTTTCTGGGTTTTTTACTCTTTTTTGGGGGGTATTTTTAGGGTATTTTTGATGGCCCCCCCCCGAGGGACTTTCCCCCCCCTTTTTTTTGGGTTCTTGCCTCTGTTTTGGGGTAAATTCCTCCCTTTTCTGGGGTCTTTCCACCCCCCTGGGGGGAGTCTTTCCACCCTTTTATTTGGATTATTAACACTATTTTGGGGTCTTTCCCCCCCCCCCATTTGGGGTCCTTCCCCCCCATTTTGGGGTCTCCCCCCCGGGGCAATAAAGGCTCGTTGGACCCGCGGCTGCTCCGGCTCCTTCCTGGGGGTCCCAGTTTGGGACTGGGAGGGGGCACTGGAGGGGGATCAGTTTGGGGTCTTTAAGGGGGTGGGGTCCCAGTGTATCCCAGTCCCCTCCCAGTACAGCCCAGTGCCCCCCAGTCCATCCCAAACAGACCCCAGACTGAGCTGGGGGTGTCCCCCCGGGGCCTGGGGGGAGGGCTTTGGGGAGACCCCAAATTTCCCAAGGAATGGGAATTTTTGGCTCCACGAGGCCAAGAAAGGACAAAACTCCTCCCGGGAGCAAAGAGGGGCAAAACCGGGGGGGGAGAGGGACAGAGCCCGGGACCCTCCAGAGACCCCGGAGAACCCCCTGGGGGTCTTTGGGAGCCGCCAGGTCATGGGAGACGTCCCATGTCGGGTCTCTGAGACCAGGGATTGGGATCACGGAGCCACCGGACACTGGGGGGGTCAACAGTCATGTTCCCACCCCCCCGCTGGACCCCCAAGTCCCCCAGAACGAGCTCCCGGAGCCCCCCCAACCCTCCCGCCCCCCTCACTTGTCCCTGGCGGCCGCCCGGGCGTGGATCCGGCCGTGCCGCGCCAGCGACGACTTGTTGCTGAAGCTCTTCCCGCAGGCCGGGCAGGGGAAGGGCCGCTCCCCGGTGTGGGACCTGCCGTGCACCGTCAGGTCCGCCAGGTACTTGAAGCTCTTCCCGCAGAGCGCGCAGGGGTAGGGCCGCTCCTGCGTGTGGCTGCGCCGGTGCATGGCCAGGTTGGACTGCTGGCTGAAGCGCTTCCCGCAGGCCGGGCAGGGGTAGGGCCGCTCCCCGGTGTGCGAGCGCCGGTGCTTGCCCAGGTCCGAGGGGTTGGTGAAGCTCTTGCCGCAGGCGGAGCAGCCGTAGGGCCGCTCCCCGGTGTGCAGGCGCCGGTGCGTGGTCAGCGTGGACAAGTGGCCGAAGCGCTTCCCGCAGGCGCCGCAGCCGAAGGGCTTCGCCCCCGTGTGCGTCCGCAGGTGGGTCCGCAGGTGGGTCAGGCGCCCGAAGGTCTTCCCGCACTCGGGGCAGGGGTGGGGACGCTCCGGGGGGGGGTCCCGGCGGGCTCGGCGCCGCTCGGAGCCTCTCCGGGGCGCCGGGAGGTCCTGGGGGGGGGCTGGAGGGGGGGCTTGGGGTGGAGGAGGAGACGTGGGGGGAGCTGGAAAGGGGGAGAGAGGAGGGGGAGCTTTGGGGGGTCAGCGGTGGGATCTGGAGCCTCCCCCCTCCCATGGATGGACCTGGGGGGTCAAGGTTGGGATCCGGAGCCTCCCCCCTCCCATGGATGGACCTGGGGGGTCAAGGTTGGGATCCCACCCCTGGATGGTTTTTGTGCCCACTGAGATGGTTTTGGGTCCATTGAGAGGGTTTTGGGTTCATTGTGGTGTTTTTTCAGTCCACTGAGGTGGTTTCTGGGTCCCACCACCCCCGACCTCCCCTCGCAGCCCCTTCCCCCCGATTTTTTTTTGGGGGGTGTCTCCTCCCCCTCCCCGTTACCTCCTTCCTGTGGCTCCTCCCCCTCGGCCCCAAAGTCCTCCTCCTCCTCCAAAGGGGGGCTGGGGGGGACCCCCAAAGCCTCGGGGTCCTCCAGGTCCTCGGGGGGCACCTCCTCCACCTTCACCCGCACGGTCACCTGCAGGACCCCCCCGAAAATGGGACCCTCGGGACCCCCAAAGGGCTCCAGAGCCCCCCAAGACCCCCCAAAGCCCCCAAAACCCACCCCCAAAGACCCCTCAGACTCCTCCCAAGAACCTCCAGAACCTCCCCAAGCCCCCCCAGACCCACAAAACCACCCCCAGACCCCCTTGAAGAACCCCCAGACCCCTCCAGCCCCTCCCAAGACACCCCAGAGCCTCCTAAACACACACACCCCCCGCCGCTCCCGTTCTCCTTCCCCCACCTGCTCCTCCCAGATCCCGGCGCTCTCCGCCGTTCCCGGCTGGAATCTCTCGGCCAGCGCCACGGCCTGGGCGCAGTTCTGGGGGTGCCGGACCCACACCCAGCTCTGGATGTGCTCGGGGAGGATGCTCAGGAACTGCTCGAGCACCAGCAGCTCCATGATCTGCTCCTTGGTGCGGACCTCGGGCCGGAGCCACCCCCGGGACAATTCCCGCAGCTTTTCCCAAACGTCCCGCGGCCCCGACGCCTCCTGGTACCGGAATTGGCGGAACCGCAGGCGGAGCAGTTCGGTCCCGGCGCCGCCAGAGCCACCGGGAGACCCCCCGGGATTCCCCTTGGCCCCCCCGGGATAACGAGGATCCACCCCGGGAGCGCCGGGATTGCCCCTGGGGCCGCGCTTGGGACCACCAGGACACCCTCTGGCATCGCCAGCACCCACCCTGGGACCACCGGGAGCGCCCTCGGGACCACCAGGATGCCCCCCGGGACCTCTGGGACAACTGGGAGCCACTCCGGGACCACCAGCATTCCCAGGAGCCCCTCCAGGACCCACCCCGGGACCCCCCCCTGAACCTCTGGGACCACCAGGAGACCCTCTGGCACCTCTGGGACCACCCGGACCCACCCCAGGACCTCCCCTAGAACCCCCTTTGGGACCCCCAGGACCCCTCCTGGGACCCCCAGGACCCCCCACTGGACTCCCCCCGGAACGCCCCTCCCTGTCCCACCCCTCTGAGGGTCCCGGGGGTCCCCGGGGGGTCTCGGGGGGCCTCAGCTGGGGGGGGGTCTCCATCCCGCCGGGATCCATCGTGGCCCCCCCCAAAACTCCCGGGGGTCTCAGGTGGATCTGAGGGGGGAGGAGAAACAGGGGAGGGTTAAGGGAAGGTTCCCCACCCCTCTCCCACCACGGGGGTCCCTCCCGCAGCCCCCCCTGAGCCCCCCAAACCCGGGGGTCCCTCCCGCAGCCCCCCCCGAACCCTCAGCCCCCAAACCTGGTCCCAGCCCCCCTCCCCTACAAACCCGAGGGTCCCTGGACGGGGGGTCCCCATCCCCACCCCCGGGGGTCCCACGGCCCCCTCCCCCCACGCCAGGGGTCCCTCCCTCCCCCCCTCACCCCCCCCTCGGGGGTCCCGCGCCCCCCGAACCTGCTCCGGCCCCTCCACCCGCCCCCCTGGGTCCCGGAGCCGAACCCCTCCACAAACTCGGAGGGGGGGGTGGGGGGTCCGCATCCCCCCCCCAGCCCGGGGTCCCCCCTTTGCCCGCGCCCCCCCGTTCCCCCTCGCCCCCCGAACCTGCTCCGGCCCACCTCCACCCGCCGCTCTCCCCACAAGGGCCGGATCGGCCCGGCCGGCCCCGCCCCAGCGGTGGGGCCCTCGGCGGGGGTCCCCGGGGGTCCCAGGGGGGTCCCTATCGCCCCCAAATTCCCACCCCAAAAATCCAAACCCCCCCCCCAAAAGAACCCCGAACCCCCCCGTACGTGAGGGGGGGCGTGGAGCGGCCACTGATTGGGTGAGAGCGCTGTCAATCACAGGGAGTCCCGCCCACCCGCCGGGTATGATTGACAGGGCGGAGAGCCAATGGGAGCGCGAGGTGCGGTGAGGGGGGCGCGGCTAAGGTGGGAGGTTGAGGGGGTGATTGACAGTGCAGCGAACCAATGGCAGAGCGAGAAGGCGCGAAGGGGGCGGGGTTTGGTGGGGAGGACACGCCCCCTCCGAGCGCTTTTCCAGGGAAAAACCGGTCACGGATGGGCTTTTTCCAGGGAAAACCAGTGGGAAATGGGGGGGTTTCTGCAGGGAAATGTGCCTTGGGAAAGGAGGAAATGCAGGAGATTTGGGAAAAGGAGGAACTTGAGCAATTTTGGGGGGGAAAAAAAAAGGAAATTAAGGTGCTTTGGAAAAGGAGGAATTGAAGGAAATTTGGAAACGGAGAAAAGGAAGGAGTTTTGGGAAAAGAGGAGTTGGAGCTTTGGAAAAGCTCCCACTGGAGGGGGGGGCACACAGGATCTCCAAGGTGAGTGGGGGGCACATCCAAAGGCGACAAAGGAGACGGAGTTGGATGCTGAGACAGACCCTTTATTGGAGTCATGCTGGGGGGGCCCAGCAGGCAACGCCCCCGTGGACGGGGCAAGGGGGTTACGAGGGTCTGAGGGGGCCCGTCGGGGGGGCTCAGCTGCGCTCCTCCAGGCTCAGGCGGTCGAACAGGTACTCCCCGAGCCCGGCCGGGGCCCCCCCTGGCCCGCCGGTGGCCCCGGTGAGGCGGCGCAGGTTGGTGGCGTGGTCCCCCAGCGCCTTGATGGCCTTCACCTGCTCGTCCAGGTAGTGGGACTCCAGGAAGTCGCAGAGCTGCGGGAAAAGGGGAGATCAGGCAGGGCCGGAGTGGGGGGGTCTCCACAGGGAGCAAACGAGGGGCTGGGGGAGGTGGAGACTCCCAGGGACGGCTGGAGGTCCCAAGAACGTCCAGGCAGAGACCTCGGAGCACAGGGGGGGACCCCAAGGCACAAGGGAGGAAAACACGGTCTGGGGGGCTCAGAGGCTTCGGGGGGGGGGGGGGGGGAGTGAGGGGCAGAGAACAACTCACGTGGGGGTCTCCCTTCTCGGAGGCCAGGCCGTGCAGGTCCAGCAGCGCCTGGTTCACCGACTTCTCGAGCTGCAGCGCTGCCTCCACCGCCTCCAGCGCCGACCCCCAAGTGTCCCGCTCCGGCTTCTGGGGGGGGAGAGCAGGGACCGTCACCAGCCCGGGACCCCCAGCCCCGCCCGCAGCCCCCCCGGCACAGCCCGAGCCCCCCGAACCTTGACGTCCTGCAGCAACACGCGGCCGCCGCGGCGCGTCTGGAAGCGCAGGAGCCCCTCGGCGTGTTCCCGCTCCTCCCGAGCTTGCTCCAGGAAGAACCGGCCGAGCCGCGGCAGCGCCACATCGTCCCGCTCGAAGTAAAAGCCCTGCGGGGACGGAGGGAGGGGGAGGCGGCTCAGGGGGAGCCCCCCAAAAGCCGCCCCCCTCCCCGGCCCTTATCTCGCCCTCGCAGGCGGCGCCGCCCCACCGGCCCCGGCCCCGGCGGGTTTTGGGGGGCAGGAGGGCGCTCGGGGGGTGGGAAAGGGGTCCCTCAGCCCCCGAGGGGAGGGTCCCGAAGCCCCCTACCATGGAGAGGTAGACGTAGGAGGCGTGGAGCTCCATGTTGGCCATGCGGTTGACGGCGGCTTCGCAGTCGCGGTGGTAGTTCTGGCGGATTTGGGACTCCATGGCGGGCGGACGGACGGACGGACGGGATGAACGGACGGACGGACGGACAGACGGACGGGACGGACGGACGGAGGGTCAAGGGGCAGCCGGTTCCGTTCAAGCACTGTTGAAGCGAGAACGCGGCTCTGCCCGCACAAAGCCCCGCGCGGGGGTTTTATCCCTTCGGCGGTGGGCGGGACCCCCCGCCCCCCCCGGGACCCCCCTCCCGCCCGGAAGGCGCGGTGGCCTTGGCCCTTGGCCCTGTTTGTCACACGGGGCCCAGTCAGCGTGACTGGGCAGGATTGGAGGGGTCGGGGCTCACGAGCGTTCCCACCGCGGGCGGGGGTCCCGGGGGGGGCTGGGGGGGGTTGAGGGGAGCCCCATCTCCCTGCTGGGCTGGGGGCACAGGGAGTCTGGCGGGGGGGGGGGCGGGGAAGGAGCTGGAGCGGGGGGGGCAGGGGGGGAATTTTTGGGGGGCTCAGTCGTGCCCCGTTAAGTGGCGTTTGATGGCCCGGGGTCACGACGGGGCGGGGAAGGAGCTGAGTCAGCCCCGAGGCCATAAAAAGGGGAACTTGGCCCCTTGGAAGTGCTGACTCGGGTTTCCGCTGCTTCGGGGCTGGGAGAAGTGCGGGGAGGGGGGTGCTGGGGGGGGATTAGGGGCAGCCCCCCCACCCTACAGCTCTTCCCTTCGGTTTTTACTCCTCGGGGCTCCCCTTGTGCCCCCCCCGTCCATCTCCGGGTTCTGGCTCAGCCGGTCCCAGACAGGAATTTCTGCACCCCCACACTCAGTGAGGCCACGGGGGGACGGGGGGGGGTCACGGGGGGGTTGGGGGGGGTCGCACAAGGAGCGCCGCGTTTGCTTTTTTTTTTATTCCCGTTGAAATTCCCGAGATACAAAACAAGGTACAAAAAAAGAGAAGGAAAAAAACCATCGAGAGAAACGGGGGGGAAGGGGGGGGGCCGGGAGGGGGGAAGGCAGGGCACCCCCCCGTTTGGGGGTGGGGGGGGAGTTGTCCCCGATGACGTCATTGCATCGTGACATCACCCCCGAGAGCACCGTGGGGGAGGGGGGGTCGCTCTGCCCCTGCCTCGGGGCAGCTCCAGGGACACTCCAGGACAATCCAGGGATTGCCAAGTGGGGACCTCCGAACCCGAGGGGTTGGGGGGTGTAAACGGGGGGCACGGCCCCCCCCACCCTGAGAGCCTCCGCCCCGGGAGGGGGGTATTGCACCTGGGGGGGCCCTTCTGGGGACAGGGAGCCCCCAATAAATACTCAACCTGCAGCCAGGGCTGCAACCCTCCCCCCCACCCCCTCACCCCACGTGGTTGGGGGTCACAGATGCCCCCCCCTCACCCTCCACCCCCCATATCCGGGGGGTGGAACCGCAGGACCCCCCCCCAAAGCACCACAAGTTCTGGGGTCAAACCGCTCTGAGGCCGGGGGGGGTCACCGGGGACCGTGGCCCCCCTGCTGCTCAGGGGGGGGCCCAGCACCGGGGCTGGGGGGGACGTGGGAGGGGAAGTGGGGTGCCCCCCACCCCGCTAACCCCCCCCCAAATCTGGCAGGGTCCCAGCCGTGGCCTCGGGGGGGGGAAAAGGGCTGCGGGGGCCACAGCTGCCCTGGGGGGAGGGAGGGAGGGAGGGAGGGAGGGAGGGGAGGGTCCCACGGCTCAACCGCCCCTCCCCAAGTCCAGGCGAGCGAGTCCTGGGTGTTAAAAAGCCCCCTGCTCCTGAAGGCACGGGGGGGTCAGCACCATCCCTGCCGGCAGGGCCGGGCCGGGGGGGGGACGGGGAGGGGCTGCGGCCCCCCGAGGGCCTACGACATCTTCCAGATGGTGAGCGAGGCGGTGAGGACGCCGGCGGCGAAGATGGTGATGGTCTGCCAGGTCGGGGTCCCGAAGTGAGAGAGCAGCCCTTCCTGGGGGGGCACAGAGGGGGGGTCGCTGCAGGGCCCGTCCAAAGCGGGGGCCCAGAGGATCGGGGGGGTGTCCAGGGACTCACCCATCCGCCCTGGGCCTGGATCCAGGCCAGCACGTGCTCCCGCAGGTACTCCATGGTCCAGCCCAGGATGGTCTGCACCAGCTCCGGGACCTTGGTGCAGAGCGCCTGCGGGGACAGGGGGGTCAGGGGGGCCAGGCAGGGCTGGGGGGGCAACAGCAGGGACCCACCCCCCCCCCGAACCCACCCCCACCTTCAGACCCACCCACCCACCTTCGAAACCAGCACCCACCCTCAGAACCACCCTCCACCCTCTCAGAACCACACCCACCTCCGACCCCACCCCACCCCCCCTTTCAGAACCACCACGGGGGGGGGGAAAAACCCTCAGACCACCACCCACCTTCTGGAACCAGCACCACCTTCGCCCACCACCCACCTTCAGAACCAGCACCCACCATCAGAACCACCCACCCACCTTCAGAAATAGCACCCACCCTCAGAACCCCCCACCCCCCTCAGAAACCAGCACCCACCCTCAGAAACCACCCACCCACATTCAGAAATAGCACCACCCTCAGAACCACCCACCCACCTTCAGAACCAGCACCCACCCTCAGAACCAACCCCCACCTTCAGAACCACCCCCCACCTTCAGAACCAGCACCCACCCTGAGAACCACCCTCCACCTTCAGAACCAGCACCCACCCTCAGAACCACCCCCCTTCAGACCCACCCACCCACCTTCAGACCCACCACCCCCCTTCAGACCCACCCACCTTCAGAACCAACCCCCACCTTCAGAACCACCCACCCACCTTCAGAAATAGCACCCACCTTCAGAACCACCACCCCCCTTCAGACCCACCCACCTTCAGAACCAGCTTGCAGGCGAAGTAGAAGAGGGCGACGACGCGGCCCCAGTTGAAGGTGCCGTCGGCGAACATCTCCTTGGCCACGCGGAAGAAAAGCTTTTTGGGGGCGTCACAGCCCACCTGCTCGATCATCCTGGGGGGGCAGGGCCTGTCAGCGCCTCGGGGGTGGAGAGCGGGGCCCCCCCGAGCCCCCCACCCACCTCTGCAGCTCCATGTTGCTGTCGAGCTCGTCGCCGATGCGCCGCAGGCACTCGCTGAGCCGTTTGGTGTCGGGGCTGCTGGGCTGGGGCTCGCCCAGCTCGGCCACGCTCAGCGCCACGGCCTGCGGGTCCCCGCAGCGCTCCACGCGGTCCCGCACGAACCTGGGGGCGGCCAGAGGGACCCCCGGCACTCTGGGCACCCGCCGGGCCCCCTCCAGATCCGGCGGCCCCCCAGGTGCCCCCACACCGTGTCCCCCCTGCACCCCGTGTCCCTCCCACTCCTGTGTCCTCTCAAGACCCTCCGTGTCCCACCTGTACCCCGAATCCCCCCACGTCCCTCTGCCTCCCCAAGTCCCTCTTGCACCGTGTCCCTCCCAGTCCTTTCTCCTCTCAGGACCCCCCAGGTCCCCCCTGCACCCCCCGTCTCCCAAGTCCCTCCAGCTTCAAGCCTCCCCTGCACCCCCAAGCCCCCCCCGCCCTCCGTGTTCCCCAAGCCCTCCCTCGCCCCCTCCCCTCGCCCCCCAGCTCCTCCCGCTCCCCCAGCCCACCCTCCCGGCGGGCCCCGGCTCCCCCACTCACGCCCGCAGCAGGATCGCCCCCGTCTGCATGATCTGGTCCGAGGAGGCCCCTGCGAAGAGCGGGGCGCTGACCCGGGGGGGACGCGGGGACCGGCCCCGGGCGCCCCCCCGGCCCGCACAGGCCGCGCCCCCGCGGGGGTCCCGGCCCCGCACTCACCGCCGCCCCCCGGGGGCGGGGCGGGCTCGCGGCCGCCGGAGCCGCCCCCAGCCCCGGCCCCAGCCCCGGCCCCGGCCCCGGGCTCGCCGCCGCCGCCTCCACCGCCGCCGCCGCCCCGCTGGGCCGAAGCCGCCGCCGCCGCCATCGCGCCCGGACCACGTGGTGTCCCCGCCGGCGTCACGTGACACCGGCAGAGCGGGGGGGGGAGCGACGGGGGGGGCGCCGCGCCCGAGTCACGTGGGGCGGGCGGAAAGTCACGTGATAGGGACACCGCACTACGGGGCAGATGCCACGCCCCTCACTAGATGGCCACGCCCCCTGGGTTGGTCACGCCCCTCGGGCTCGGCCACGCCCACGCAGCATCCCCCCCGGGACCCCCGGGATCACCAAGGGGGGGGTCAGACACAGATACCCCCGGGGGTCCCTGGGGGGGTCACACACAGAGACACTTCGGGGGCGATGAGGGGTCACACCCCCGCGGGGGTCGATGGGGGGGTCACACGCAGAGACACTTTGGGGGTCGATGAGGGGTCACACACACGGGGGTCCCTGGGGGGGTCACACACAGAGACACTTCGGGGGTCGATGAGGGGTCACACCCCCCCCCCGGGGGTCGATGGGGGGGTCACACACACACCCACACCCACACACACACACACACAAACACGTCCCCGGGGCTCCCTTGGGGGGGGGTCACACACACACACACCGGGGTTCCTTGGGCGGGGTTCGCACACACACACACAGTCCGGGGGTGTCCATCGGGGGGGTTCACACAACACACACCCGGGTTTGTCCCTGGGGGGGTTCGCACACACACACACACGTCCCCGGGGGTCCATTGGGGGGGGGTCACACACACACACACCCGGGGGTCCCTGGGGGGGGTCGCACACACACACACACGTCCCCGGGGGTCCATCGGGGGGTCACACACGCACCCGGGCACGGCCGTCGGGGGTCCGGGGGCCGCACCGCTCGCGACGCCCCCGCGGCGCTTCCACCGCCCCCGGCGCTTCCTGCGGGCCCGAGGCCGCGGGCACGGGCGGGGCCGCCCGCGGGAGCCGCCGCGGGGGTGCGGGGGGGTCGGGCCCGGGGTGGGCGCTGGCTCCGGGCGTGCGGGTGGGGTGTGACCCCCGCGCAGACATGAACCCCAAAGGCTGCCTCGGCTGTGCCAAGTGCTTCCTCTTCTTCCTCAACCTCTTCTTCTTCGTGAGTGGGGTCACGGGCGGGAGCTGGGGGCACACGGGGCTGGGGGGCACTTGGGGGGCGGGGGGGGAAGATGGGGGGCAGGGGACAGATGGGGGGACACGGGGCTGGAGGGACAGGGGGAGATGGGGGGACACGGGGCTGGGGAGGACCTGGGGCTGGGGGCACACGGGGGTACAGGGGAGACCTGGGGAGGGGGCCCAGCTGTGCCTTGGGGGGGACAACAATCTCCTGGTGCTTGTGGGCACTGGGGGGTCCCCCACTTGCTGACCCGGACTGGGTGCCCCTCCCTCCACCCCCCAGGCCCTGGGCACCCTCCTCCTCGCCTTCGGCCTCTGGGTCCTCTTCGACCGGCAGAGCTTCGCCGCCGTGCTGGGTAAGGGACCCTCGCACCGTGGGGCACCCCGAGGCGTGGGGCACCCCGAGGCGTGGGGCACCCTGAGCTGGGGGGGTGCCCTGACCCCCCCTGTGCCCCCCCAGGGTCACCACTGGTCAGCCTGAGGGTCTGGTCCTACGGCTTCTCGGGGGTCGGCATTGTCACGATGCTGCTGGGGTTCCTGGGGTGCCTGGGGGCCCTCAAGGAGGTCAAGGTCATGCTGCTGCTGGTAAGCTGAGGGGGCCGGGGGGGAGGGGGGCCAAGGGGGGGGCTGCAGAACTGGGGGGGGCTGGGGGAGCTGTGCTGCAACTTCCTGGAGCGACCGCGGGCCACGTGCTCCCACCACATCCTGTGCTTGTGGAGCGGCACTGGGGAGCTGGGGGGACCCCTCTGCTCTCCCTCGGTGCCCAAGGGGGGGGTGTGGGGGGGTCCTGGCTGACCCCCCACCTCCCCTGTTTGTCCCTGAAGTACTTTGGGATCCTGCTGCTGCTCTTCGCTGCCCAGATCACGGTGGGCGTCATCGTCTACACGCAGCGTGTTGCTGTGAGTTCTGGGGGTCCCCGGGGCTGGGGGGGGACCCCGGGGCTGGGGGGGGGCCCAGGGGCGGGGCAGTGCCATGGGACACTGTGCTCACCCCCCACCCCCCCCAGCTGGCCACCAAAGTGGCCACCTACGCGCAGCAGCTGATCCAAGAGTACCCAGCTCAGGGACCGCCTGGGGACCCCCACGAGAGCTGGGATGCTGTCCAGCAGCAGGTGAGACCCCCACAGAGCCCCCCCATCCCCACAGCCACCCCACGGCCACCCCACTGACCCCCTGCCTCCCCCCAGCTTGGCTGCTGCGGCTGGAACGGGCGCCAGGACTGGGACCACCACGAGGGACCCTCCAGGGACACGGACGGGGCCGAGACCGTCGCCTGCTCCTGCCTCCAGGCCCCCAACAGCACCCACGGGACCCCAGGGGTGCTGCCCCACGGCCGCTGCCCCTTAGCTGCCCCCAGTGACATCTTCCCCAAGGTGAGGCACGGGGGGGTCACAGGGTCCTGGAGCTCTGGGGGGGGCTCCAGGTGACCCCCGATTGTCACCCCCCTCCCACAGGGCTGTGCCGCGGGCGTCCGGGACTGGCTGGCTGCAAACCTGATCACCATCGTGGGGGTCTGCGTGGGCATCGGCCTGGGGGAGGTAGGGGGGCTGCTCCGGGGCGGGGGGGCTGAGCTGAGGGGACAGCCCGGGTGGGGCTGGGGGTGGTCGTGGGGCTGTGGGGTTGACCTGGGGGGTAGCCTGGGGACTGCAGGGCCATGGGATGGGTGGACTGGGGGTCACTCAGGGGTCCGAGGGGGTTCAGGGGATTTTCAGGGTGGCCGTGGGAGGGTCAGGGGGCTGGGAGGGGGTGTTCAGGGTGGTCGGGGGGGGGTCTCAGGGGTCCGGGCAGGTCAGGCTGCTGACTCAGCTCTCTGCTCCTAGCTCGCCCTGCTGATGCTGTCGATGTTCCTGGTCAGGAACCTGGACCCCCACTACGAGAAGCTGCTGCGGGGGTTCTGAGGGGCCAGGGTGGGGAACAGAGGGGAGGGGGGCTGTTCGTCGGCGGTTTCTCTTTCAATAAAGAGACAGGAAGCAGCGGGACGGGGCCCGAGACCGGAACCGGGCCCGGAACCGGGACCCCCGACCCGCGAAGAGCGACACGTGCCCCCCGCGCTTTTATACGCGATCTCTCCTTGCCCCGCCCCTTGCCCCGCCCCTTGGCCCGCCCCTTTCCTTTGGGCGCGCGCGCCCGGCCCCGCCCCTTCCTCCCTCTGGGCGGGAACGGCTCGCGCCAGGCCCCGCCCCCTCCCCGCCGTGAGGCGATTCCCCCCCGCGCCCCCCCCCCGCGCCCCCCCGTCCCCCCTCAGGCCCCGCGGCCCCCCGGGACCCCCAAAACTGCACACCCCGACCCCAAAACTGCACACCGGGACCCCGAACCGCGCCCCCGGGGCACGGGGGGACCCCCGACAGACCCCCGCGATGGCTGCGGAGGGACCCCGCGCCCCGGGAGCCGCCGGGCCCCTGCCGGGCGGGGCCCGTGAGGGTCCGGGGGTGGGTGGGGGGGGTGAGGAGCCGGGACCCCTCACGGCCCGCCCTGTCCCCCCAGCCCCGGCCGAGAGCGGCTGCTCGGACGAGTTCGCCCTCGACTGCACCTTCGCCGCCTGCGACCCCGAGCACACAGGTGGACGGACAGACCCTCCTGGGCCGGGCGGGCCGGGGCCAAACCCCCCCCCGGGCCGGTGACCCCCGGGCCTGACTGACCCGGGCCAAACCCCCCCCGGGCCGGTGACCCCCGGGCCTGACTGACCCGGGCCAAACCCCCCCCGGGCCGGTGACCCCCGGGCCTGACCGACCCGCCGCCCGCCGCAGGGTCGGTGCTGCCGCAGCGGGTGGTCGAGTACGTGGCGGCGGTGACGGGGCACAGCGGGCACGAGGGGCGGCTGCGGGCGCTGCGGCGGGCGCTGGACCCCGCGGCCTCGGGGGCCGCGCTGGACCTGCCCCGGTTCCGCGCGGCCATGGGCACCTGGATCGCGGCGTGTCGGCAGGACGGGTCAGTCACGGGGGCACTGCCGGGGCCAGGTCAGTGTGGGAGGACGGGTCAGTGCCAGGGCCAGCAGGACGGGTCAGTGCCAGGGCCAGCAGGACGGGTCAGTA